AATCGACAGTGTGATGAATAGTGAAATGTCGTGCATTGTGTAAACAGACGAATACATGACGAGCTTAGTTTGCTGTACAATATGAATTAGCCTAAAATGGTGCATAGGGAAAAAAGGGTATGTTGGCAATTCCTTGAATAATTGAAACGTAGTAGCGACAAAGGTGATTTTATATTACAGGCCTTTTTCTGCATTGAAAGTTGAAAGTTAAATTTCATTCATTATTTTTATTTTCGTATTTTGATTAATATAAATAATTAAGAGTACCATGGAAACTATTTGCAGGCAAATTACAGTTACCAAACTTTAAATTTTATCATTCATTAGATTTACCCAGGTGCCGAATCGCTCTCTAACTCCTAATTGCTCGAATGACGACAGTTATTGTTTTGTCAACTTCATGAAATGCTTGCAGAGCTTAAACAGCAGATCAACTCGGATTTATGATGTCTGACCTTTAGAAATGGTGTCGCAGAAGCATATAAGGCAACCTTCGGCGCTGTGGAGCCTCATAGCCAATCATGGAAAGCACCTAGACAGGTCAGGCTCAATGATATTTAAGTTCAGACATTTTCAAATGCATGTCGCATTCTATTTGCTAGGACCATTCCCTGCACCCTGCACGTCACTAGCAGTGTGTCGTGAGTCGAAACTTCTTTAATGCTTAGGTCAATATTCGTTCTACTTTAGAAGCTTGTTCTGTTAAACCTTACCTTTGTCACACAGGTTACAGGATACTTTGCAATTCTGACGCATGTATTTCACAGTAAATTTACAGTGTCCCAGTTCAGCCCAAAGTCTGCAGTGGTCCACCAGATCCGTGCAGTTAGCCGAACCTGAAAATGAAAGTAAAGGTTACAGTAAATACAAACTTTAGAAACAGGTCTCACCTGATGATAAAGGTAATTTGCTGCAATTGTACAGTTTATTCACCTTTGCAACGTCTATTTCGCTAAGGTTATAACGCTGGCCTATTTTCGTTGAACCTTGCAACGCAATAACCGTCGGCTTGCCATTTTTGGAAAACGCCAGAGCGTGGTAGTGCATTATTGACTGGTAATCGTACGGCATACCAAGAGTATGAAGGATATTTTTGGAATATTTCTCGAAATTTTTACGCATTCCTTAAAGAATAACAGTTAATACGTAGCATACGCAAGTTTCTTATAATCACTGTCTATCATCATAATATCACATTTTTTAGCAGTCTTTAAAGGACTCGGTTCCGACCTTCCTTTTACCTCCATAGTCACAACTGCAATGGTCTGGGCACAGGTTGCAAATGATTATAGAATGGAAGGCAAAACGGATATTGTTTGCCCAACCTACCGGCTGAAGACCGCGGGAATCCCTGGCCAAGAGGCAAGTGAATGGAAGGACTTGACTCCAGACTCGGGCTATCTTCTGCTGACACTCAGACGCTGGTACAGTATCAAGAACGTTGGAAATACTGCCTGACGCGTCTGCCTCCACGACTCGAAAGGATAAACGGTCATCGAAGCTGACTGACTGACGTTTACGTGCGGACATCGGTTTACGGAACAGAAGGTCACAAAGCATGCATATTCGTTTTCATATTGATAGGTTCAAAATAAGTTTGTCAACTGCCTTATGTGACGGGTTTTAGCGGATTTCTTACTCTGCGGAATAATCTAACAGCATATTAATATGCGTTTATAGAAATTCAGCACATAACATTGATGATACTGCATTAAAAACTTTTTTAATCAATTCATAAATTTCAAACTTGTCTTCTAAACAAAAATTATAACTGAAACCGGACTTCGTAGCTTTCGTGAAACAGGTGAGGAAAAGACACCAGAGGTTTCCGATTCCACTAGGTTTATCTTCAGTTTTATGGACAGAGGGCAGAAAGCGTCATTAACATCGACGAATGCTATATTCCTTTAGTAATGACGAGGCAGTGCTTACACCGTATTGTTTTGTGCGTATAGATTCAGATCCAGTTCTGTTTTGGTCCGTTTTGGCAGTTGGTTTGGTGTCTGCTTCCAGACAACTAAACATTCCTGTTAAATTCATTGAAGTATTTGCGTACTTATATCAAGAGCGGTTCCTTATCCTGGCATCATTCATATAAGAATAACAGAAATGCATAATATGGAAACATGAAAATGTCTGAATGATCCAGTTGAAAGGACTTATCACCTGCCTGGAAGGACGCAAACAGTTGCTGTAAAGAGAGGGACAAGATAACCCTGAGATTATTGGCAACTACCATACTAATTTTGTAAGACAACTATATCTAAACGTGTCCTTCAAGTTAGAGTACAGCAAAATATTATCAGCACCCTAGTTTCATCTATAATTTATGCAGTATATACCGTTGACTGTCAAATGTATTTTTCAAGCTGTTTTGCAAAATAGCCCTAATAACGTAGATCCGGTCTGATATGAAATTTCTGACTTCCTGTAAACAGATTGTCTATGTAATAATCTTTTCAAAGATTTTATTGTTATCCAATATTTTTCTTATCAGATAAACTATGAAAACTGTGCTACACTTTATAATGCTAAACGATACAGGACCGTTAATGCGCGAATAACAAGAACACCATGACGTTAGCAGGAGAAGCCATCCAGAACATTCCAGGATTGTAATACCTTCCTTAGAATGCCAGCGTAACTTCAGTGATAAACACATAAGCGTCCTTAATCATGGGACTTAGCCTTTCTATCAAAGAATTCCTGCATATTTCGATGAACAAGGGAAGAAACTGCAACAACTAAACTAAGTTAAATTTCCATTGTATCTTTGGCATTTCTAGCTTCAACCCCGCTATCTCTGAAAACCACACCTGTTCAGCCATCCTTCCCAAGTTCGTTAATTTGGTCCTACGTCTTTTTCACCATTAGATATTATGCAAATTTTCTACACTTTATTATCCAACTGTTGACTGTGTCACTGCTTGAGAACTATCCCTGATAGTAGCTTCCGTATCCAAACCGAAAGGAAAATCGTGTGTCACTTCTAAAGCCATTCGCATTGTACAGATGTCGAGTTCAAATAACATCGGTGTGTTAAAAATTGCGTTATGAACACATTCTTAAATTATCTTCGCAACTACTCTAATATCTTTACCTGCCAAAAACTTAGCAATACGAATTTTCAACGTCACATTTTTCAAGTAGCAAACTACTTAACGCATATCTTAATTTGAAACAGTGTACAGACGACGGTTTAACTTGTAACGTTAATCTGAAGCTTAAATCAAGAACACTTACCCATAGCAATGTTCCGCTCTTCGATTTTTACGTAGTCGTCTCTGTCCATTCTACTGTGTTCATGAAAGAATCCGAGGACGTGCATCAATTCGTGTTGAATGGTCCCCTTTCTGAAACATTTATTCACTTCCAATGAGACTGACTGATTTCCTCCGTTTCTGCCCACGTACGACGAACAACTAGCAAAAAACCTCAAGCATCAACTCTCACAAAGCGTTCAATAATCATAATCAATTACCCACGTCCGTAGTTCTTCTCAGTGACTATGTAATTCTGGTCTGTCTTGGTTTTAGGAACGAAACGAACGCAGGTCTTCTCAGAAAATTCAATGAAAGCTTGAGCTATGGCTGAGCGCTCTTCTGTCGTTAATCCTGGTCCCAGAACATACGGAACTCTTTGTTGATGCCACAGTCTTTCTGGAAACGTTTCAGGATTGAGGGCGCTGTTCAGCTGAACAACAACGCTTCATTAGCACAATGCTGTACTGCATTGAATCAATTTATAAT